TTGACCTGATAAAATACGAACATAGATAAATTTAATAAATTATTAGATTAAGAAAAAAACTATATTACAAAGACGAATAAATAAATTTTCATGTAAATTAGCCATAATCGGTAAAAAGTGTCTCATTAATGTATAAAATCAACGATCGATTAAAATAAACCCTTCAATTATGACACCCAACTGACTAATTTTTATCGATGAGTTACGTGCATAGTGACACGATTTATTTTAAATCACAATCACGTGCCTTTTTCATTAAGTACCATGCCCTAATTTTGTTAATATTTTCACATTTACCCTATATTTATTTTTATTAATAAATAAAAATAAAATAAAATAAAATAACCCACTAATCTCCACCAATGGGAGAGAAGAGAAGAGGAATGGTCTATGTGGCACACAGAGTCATTGAGTGGGTCCCACTTCATAGCCAATCATAATTAAGGTTTGTTGTAGTCAACAAAAGCAGCTACACACAGCCTCATCTCTTTGAATGACACCTCATCATTAAAAAAAAAAAAAAAATTAATTAATATCTTGTATTTTGCCAAATTGGTGCAGCATTAATTAAAATTTTATCCTGTTTTTTTTATTCCAAAGTTTTAAATATTTGATATTATTAATAGATGTATTTAGTTATTTATAAATTATTGTTATTGAAGTTAAGATGGATGACGTGGATGTTTATGAAAGTGATTTGGCGATTTAATATGGCCACTCACCTAGTACTTCAACAATTTCTATCTTTATTATAATCTTTAGTAATAGGAAAGGATGTTAAATTAAATTAATTAAAAAAAAAAAAAGAAAAAAAAGGTGGGGTCCACGGAAAAAGCCCAGGACAATTCCGTACAGGCATAGCCAAATGTACAAATAAAAAAATAATATAAACAAAAGAGGCGCGTAGGAGTGGGCCCGGGGAGGGTTATTGGAGAGCCGTTGATTGAGATGAAGAAGGGACGGTGCAGATTAATGGAGAGGTGGAATTATTGGACGCGATGCGAAGAATGGGAGGGAATTAGAAAACAAGATAATTATAGTACTTTTGTTTATTTTATTAAGCGGAGGAGGAGGAATCTGGTGGGTGTGGGAGTGGAATTAGGGTTTGGTTTGGAGTAGAGTTCCCACCCTACTGGAACTCCCAACTGTGTAAGTGACACTCGAGTAATTTAAAATTAGATGAATAAATCGAAAATCATATTTGAATGCGAGTCATTTCGAAGGTTCGATGGTTATGTGGTACACGAATTGAGCTCTATTGAGTTCGGGTTGGGTGAGTTGGGTGGAATTTATTTTTTACGAGCTCAAAACTTTTAAAGTTGGTTGGGTTTGTGATATGAGCAGTACCCAACCTCTATTAGGAGTTGGGTTGGGTTGATCTAAATCGTAAACCAATTTTAATTTTCAATTTTTCAAAAATTCAATCCAAATAAAAATTGTAACTCAACCAAATTTTTATTACTTAAATTGCCAGATTGGTTTGGTTAACATGCCATTTGAACACTCTTATTAATAATAATTAAAAAAAAAATATAAATGTTTGGATTAGAGCCACTCTTGAGTAGCTTCTTCTCAAGAGTTTAAAATGCATTTGTTATGGACTGGGTCTAGTCCTACTTCAATCATTAGTGACTCGGAGGATCTAATAACTGACCTCTAATACTATTTGTAACAACCAAAACTCATCATTATATTACTCTAATATCATTTATAAGAATCCAAACTCATCACTAATATTGTCCTCTTCCGACTTTCGCATTTGGACTTCTCCTAAAGATTTTAAAATAGGAGAGGTTTCTCAACTCGACCGACACGAATGTTGGAGCCATCAACAACCAAATTTAAATTTACATTGAACGGTAATAAATTTGGTAAAAAAAAAAAGGGTAAGGTTAAAAAAGAGAGGTAAGATTCGGATTGGTAACAACAAAGCAAACCAAATAATAGAGGAAGCAGGCGGCGGCAGCAGGATCATCAGATAAGATACATTCCACATGGAGAATTTTCCATCTTTTATTTATTTATTTATTTATTTTCCTTTATTAAAAAAAAAAAAAAAAAAAAGAATCAGCAGCAAAATTCAGGGGGGATGAACTTAAATAAAACACGGTCCAGGGTCATGTGAACCCCATCAACTTGCCTTCCCCTGGGCCCCACTCCTCCATACCATACCCTCCTTTTCTCTCTCTAAATTAATCACCCTCTCACACAGTTGACTCATATTTTCCATATTTATGGACTTTCTTTTATTTATTTTAATTTAAAAAAAAAAAAAAAAACGTAAGACTTGGAAAATAACATTAATTAAAAAGTCCACCGGCTGTTGTATAAATCCACCCATCCCCAACACGCCTCTCCAGTTCATTCCCCCAAATACGCTTCTTACACAAATGGACCAACCCACCACTTCCATTAAATCTCCGCCGCTGGACACCAGTCTCGGCGGCGCTACCAGTATCGTTTTGGACTCTGCTGACTCCAGCACCGCCGTCGGGTGCGGCGTCGAGGCTGAATCCCGGAAGCTACCCTCCTCCCGTTTCAAAGGAGTGGTACCACAGCCCAATGGACGATGGGGCGCGCAGATTTACGAGAAGCACCAAAGGGTATGGCTGGGAACATTCAATGAAGAAGACGAAGCCGCACGTGCCTACGACGTGGCTGCCCAACGCTTCCGTGGTCGTGACGCCGTTACCAATTTCAAACCGTTATCTCACGGTCAAGTAGACGACGTCGTATCCGCCTTTCTTAACTCCCATTCCAAAGCTGAAATCGTCGACATGCTACGTAAACATACCTACCTAGACGAACTACACCAAAGCAAACGAAACGCCGATTTATTATCTTCGGATCGTAAAAGAAACGGTTCGTTATCCGGTTCGGATAACGAATCGGATTCCGCTCGTGAACTTTTATTTGAAAAAGCCGTTACGCCTAGTGATGTCGGGAAATTGAACCGTTTAGTTATCCCTAAACAACACGCCGAGAAAAACTTCCCTCTCCAAACCGGTTCCGCCGGTTCCGCCAAAGGACTACTCTTAAACTTCGAAGACGGCGTCGGGAAAGTGTGGCGGTTCAGGTACTCGTATTGGAATAGTAGTCAAAGCTACGTGTTGACCAAAGGGTGGAGCCGGTTCGTTAAGGAGAAGAACCTAACCGCCGGTGACGTCGTCAGCTTCTTGAAATCCACCGGTGAAGATAAGCAGCTATACATCGAATGGAAGGCGAGTAAGAGTACACCCTCGACCGGGTCCAACACGAACCCGGTTCAGACGGTGAGATTATTTGGAGTGGACATTATGAAAGTAACGCCGAGTAGTGGGTGCAGTGAGAAGAGGAGAAGAGAAATGGAGTTTTTGAGTTCAGAATGTAACAAAAAACAAAGGATCGTCGGAGCATTGTAACGTAAAAATTCCTTTTTCTTTTTTTTTTCTTTTTTTTTTTTTAATTATTTTTTTTTAATTTATTGCACGTGTTTTGAGGGACTTGATAGAAAATATTTATGTTTGCAAAAATGCCCCTCTCTCACAAGCAAAAAGAATTGTATAAATGAGAGAAACAAATATGATCGAACCTTTCCGGTGTTCTTATGATTCCGACTAATCCAAACTACTCATCCTAAATCATAAATGTGGGGTTGAGTTAGATTTTTTTCGATTTGGTAAGGTTTAATTAAGTTCTCGATTCAAAGATTGATATTTTGTTTTGTCCGGTCAACCAAACCAACCTAAAAAAATGGTGTTACAGTGTGCTTATTTTTTCTGTTGAGATTACGGGTTGGATGTTTAATTATCCGTAATGATAGTATCTTGTACCTGAACTGGTGGCTCATTTTTTCTAAGTAATGTGGATCGGGGTGTGTACCAGCGAGGACTTTAGATCGCCAGAGATGGATTGTGAGATTCTACATCAGTTGAAAAGGGAAATGAAATATTTTTTTAAAAGGGTGTGGAAACTTCTCCGACGCCATTTAAAACTGTGAGGTTAACAGAGATACTTAACTGTAAGAAGTGAACAATATCTGACAGATTTATGGTAGTTTTACGGTAGTGTTTGAGGTTTTTGAGATTTTAGTTATTAATAAATATATATTTTTTTAAATAATTAAAAAAAAAAAAACAATCCAACCCACAAAAATAGAATAGTACGTTGGATTGGATTTTGAATGTTTTGGGTTACAAAGTTGAAACACCTTTTTGTTCGGACCTTTTTTAAAAAATAAAATAATTTTAATAAAAATATTATCATATCTTACATATACTTTTAAAATATTGTTCCAATTTAAATTTAAAAAGATTTAAATTAAATAATATAATCATTTGAAGCACATTTTATTCATTAATATTGAAAAAATTAATTTTGATCCTTCCAAATCATTGAATAAGCTACTAAAAACAAAATTTAAATTATTAGGTTTTTAAAAAAGTATTTACACAAATATGATTTTGTTTAAAAAGGAATCAAAATTATTATTTAACTTAATAATATAAAACTCTTGTTTGTGTTTGATACGAATATAGTTAAAATAAATAAAAATAAAATTACTCTTTTTCAATAATTATAGGTATCTCCAAATTTCTACATAAAATGGGCTTAATTCAAACCCAAGATATTGGGCCCAAGCCCATCATAATATCGACTAGTTAAATAAAGCCAGCCCAAAATTTAAAATGATATTGGGCCCAAGCCCATCATAATATTGACTAGTTACACAAAGTCTTAAATGATAATTTTGTTTTAAATTTTAAATTAAAATTTAAAATATATATCATTAACTTTAAATATAATAAAAATAACATTATAAATATTTAAATATATTTTTGTATCGTAATTACGCTAACATTAATTTATTTAAATATAGTTCTAATATGGTTAAAATAAATAAATAAATAAAATCATTAAAAATTTAGTGTTTAATTTTATTTAAATATAAATTTAATAAATAAAAAAAAAAATCCTCTTATATTCAAGATTCTATGCTGTATGCGAGATCTCGACTTCGACTAGTCTCTCTCTAGAATCCTCCATTGATTCTCTCTCTAAAACTCCATTATCTCCGTTTTAAATTTCAGATTTATTAAATCTATTTATGTTTCATCTTCTTCTTCCCCACTAAACTCTATTTATTTCTCTTGGGTTTCAAAGTTTATTGTACTGTTCTCGATCATTGGCTCACTTCGGATTTTTCTTTGTTTTATTATCCCTTAAATTATGTTTGATTCAAAATCATTCATGGATTTCCCCGATAATGTTGTTGATATTCGTGTGGGAATGGATTTGCGGCACTATGCCGATGCTCTGGATCAAGAACGCAGAAAAATTCTGGTGTTTCAGAGAGAACTTCCCCTCTGTGTGGAGCTTGTTACCAGAGGTAAGTCGCCGGAATCTATGGCGATTTTTACCTTGTTCTATGTTTTGTTTTGTTTAAGTTTTTGGGTTTTTGCATCAGCTATTGATTCTTGCCGGCAGCAGTTATCTGGGGTCTCGTCGGAGAGTTCAGAGCATACTTCTTCCGATGGCCCTGTTTTGGAGGAGTTCATTCCGATCAAAACAGCCTCCGGTGATTCCAATTTTGAACAATCAAAACCAGATATAAATGAAGTGGGTCCATTGGATTGGCTTAAATCCGCTCAGCTTTGGAATCAAACGTCGGATCCTCCAGTTGTTGAGGTATAATTCCATTGCTCTGTTTTTTTTGTCTTTTTGGCTGCCGAGAAAATAGACGAGGATTTTCCGGGAAAGTTGTGTGAATTTTGTTCTTTTTTCCAGGATGTTGCTGAGAAACCGCCTTCGGCGGTTGTTGACGTAGAAAAGAAAGGCGTGGGCGGTGGTTTTCAGCCATTTCAGAAGGAGAAAAATCCACCCAAAACAGAGGCGGCGGCGGTTGTCGGCAAAACGGTCTGTTGTTCTCCGGTGTTGGAGGCGACATCGAGTTCGACGGCGGAAACTGTCTCCAAAGACAGCGGCGGAAACAGTCAACGAGAAGAGAAGGAATCTCAAACTCAAAGAAAACGGAGGCGGCGCTGGTCGTCGGAGTTACACCGGCGATTCGTTCGTGCCCTTCAACGACTGGGCGGCCCTCAAGGTAAAAAAAATTAATTTTATCACAGTAAAAAAAGAATTAACTCTCAGTAATTTTATTATTTAATCACAGTTGCTACACCAAAACAAATTCGTGAGTTAATGAAGGTTGACGATTTGACTAACGATGAAGTCAAAAGCCATTTACAGGTTCGTATTTCTTCCAATTAATTAAAAGTGATTTTTTTTAATAGGATTTTTTGTTAAATTAAATTAAATTAATTTAATTTCAGAAATACCGATTACACGCACGACGGCCGACAAATTCTGCCATGCACGACAGCGCTGTGCAGAAATTCGTGGTGGTCGGAAGCATGTGGGAACCTCCGCCGCCGCCACCACCGAAGTACATGGCGATGACGACGGGGCAAGTGACCCCGGTGGCGAGAGTCGTGCAACGGCAGAAGACGGCGGAGGGAGGAAAGGGGAGACCCATCGGCGGCGAAAGCGTAGAATTATTTTAATTATAATTTATTTTATTTGTGTTGAAGGTAGTTTTGTAATTAAAATATCATTATCATAAAAAATAAAAAATAAAAAATTAGATAATGCTTTTAAAAAACGAGAATAATTTTTAAAACATTAATTTTTTACTAAATATTAAAAAATATAATCTAACGAAAATATAATATTTTTATCAAATTTTAACTCATTCGAGATCAAATTACAAATTTTACATAAATGACCTATCATATTTACATTGTTGGATGATAAAAGTCTCACATCGACTAATTTAGAGAATGATCATGAATTTATAATCAAATAATACTCTCTCCATTGGAGTGAGACCTTTTCGGGAAGCCCAAAGTAAAGTCATGAGAGTTTATGCTCAAAGTGGACAATATCATATAATTGTGGAGAGTCGTGTTCATCTAATCTTTTAGTAATTAATATATTGTCTTGATCAATTACTTTGTTCAGTCGTTTCCAAATTTAATATCATATTTTATACTGAAAAGAATTATATAAAAATTATTATTTCAAAAAATGGTTTGGTTAAAAATGAGTTTTGAAGGTTAGGGATCTTATCCCAACTCGAGAAACTAGCATTCCACTAAACCCACCCACTAAAATAAATAAAAAGTTAGATCAAAAGAAACGAAAAGATTTTTGCTAAATGTTGCTAAATGTTGTCATTTTGTATGGACTATGATAACGAGGTTTCGAAGAGAATAAAAATAAAGATATAAAGTTAAGCGAGTCGTAAAAATTATAGAAGTCCCTGTAACAATCGAGCAAAGCTCAACTCCTTCTACAAATTATAGCCATGCAATCGAGAAGAAAAATCTTGATATTTGGTTGTTGATTGAGTATACTGTTTTAGCATCGATAGTTTCGTTTCAAGGACGACTGCATCCGTTTCTAATTTTGGTTTCGTGCTCGTTTGGGTCTACAGTGAAACTTCAACTTGTCGACCCTTCGTGCACTTTTCACCATTTGATCAACATTCCATTTTATCGATGACGGTTTTTTGTTCTCGTATTTAATAGATAATGTTATTTGAGAATAAGATAAATTCTATAAATATTATATATTTAGTGTTAAAATGAAACTTTACGAACTCTCAATCAATTTTATATAGTTACATAACGTTATAATATTATTCGAATGAATTTGCTTTTGATTTTATTTTAAATATTTTGTACGAAATGATGTCCACATCTATACATCAATATCTTTCCGTCACGTTTTTTTATATTATAAATTTATTATTTATAAGTTGGAGAAACTATGGTATCATAGTGGTGTAATTTGACCTAATCTATAATCTAATATTTTTAAAAGGACGAGTCATTTGTTCCTCTTTTCATATTTAATTTTCATATTTTTTCAAATAAAAGAATATTCCAACCAATTACTTAATTGACTTTTGATATTTTTTCAAATAAAAGAATATTCCAACCTTTCACATGTATAATAATCAAAACCAATATTTTTCATCTTTATCCCTTTTATTTTGTAATTTACTAAATATTCTAACAATTTCTTTTGAGAGTATATATATATTTAACTTATCGAGTTTAGTTTGTAATGATCGGTATAGAAGTAGGTGGAGAAACTGAAACCATATTATATATCCATGTTTAGGTTACTGTGTTATGTCTCTATTCATAATTTGCTACACATGTAGTTTTTATGTCGTGATAGGGGACGACAAGAGTGTTAGATGAACATCGATTCTCTACGATGGTATGATATTGTCTACTTTGATCCTAAGCTTTCGTAACTTTGCTTTGGATTTCCCCAAAATGTCTCATTCCAATGTAGAGAATATTCTTAAACCCATGATCATTGTCTAAATTAACCAATGTGAGACTTTCATCGTTCAACAAAGAGGTCATTTGTCGAACCCATTATTTTGTACTAATTTAGCTTTTTTTTAAAAATACTAATTTAGAATATTATTAGCTTATCTCTTTAATTCAGACTGGCCCACAGAATCTTGCATGGTCCAAGATTCCCCCACAATCCCATCTATAATAATATCAACCCATCTGATCTCCACCGCAGATTGATCATCCGACGGTCTCCATTTCACGACTATGATTCAGACCCACGTTCTCGCGCACAGACAATCACTTCCCCAATTTGGATAAGTTCGTGTAGATTTAGATTATGACCCTTGAATGAATAAAAGGCCAAACGACTTTTGAGGGCCATTATAGAGACCATCAGAAGCGCAAAACGACGACGTTGCATGCTGATTTCTTATATGTATGATCATTTTTGAATATGCATAAAAATTCCTCGTGGAATATTCTTTGTAATTAATTTAGGGAATGAATCTAAAAATTCCTTGTGGAATATTCTTCGTGGTTAATTTAGGGAATAGTAGTTTATTATTTAAGAATACACCAAAGCAAAGCCATAAAAACTTATGCTCAAAGTGGACAATATCATCCTATTGTGGAGAGTCGTGTTCGTCTAACACTTTTCTTATCTTTGGTAGAGACCTAACTTCCAACAAAAGAATATAAAAAAAAATTATAAATAATTGACATTTATTTATTATTCGTCAAATTTTCATATCATAAAATCTAATTTGGTTTTAAATACGACTTTATAAATGAGGATAAGAAGAATAATTCAAACTATTGGCAATTTAAGAAATATTATATTACAAAAAATAACACTAAAAACTGCGTATCTTAGTTAGCCATTAAAATTATATTTAGGTAAGACTAATGATGAACTTAAGTATTATGCTTTCTTTGATTCCTCTTCTTCCATGGCCGACTTGTTTGAGTTCATTTCGAAACTACTGTTTCGTTTGCTAAGAATATCAAAAGCGGTAAACTTGTTTTAGAAATTTGGATGTCTAACCACGCACGGATTGACCTAATAATCAATAAGAGATAGGAAAATAATAAAGGGATTAAAGAAAATAAGTTCAAACGATGCTCATCTAAGTAAGATCTAATATCTTACGAGTTTTCTTGACTATCAAATGTAAGGATCAAATAATTGTCTCATGAAATTAGCTGGGGTGTGTACAAACTATGATCCGCTTAGAATAGTCATATAAGAGAATTCGGTTTTAAAATATAGATCCTACCCAGGTAAAACAAAAAAAAAAAAAGGCAAGTATACTTCCATTCATGATACATAAACTAATCAGCAGAAGGGAGCCCATGGGCCATTATGTTTTCTATTCCTTGCTCAAACACTCTCCTATACCAAAAATTATCTTGCAGACTTTCAGAGATCAATCTCGGGATCAATATAACTGAACGAAGAACACAGGCTTCATTTTATTATGAAACTTGGGGGAGGTCATTTATGAACCAGAATAATGCTGGAACACACATGCTTCATTAGATTCCTTCGTCAATATATTGTATACATTCAAAAAGTGAGTTTTGACTAATGACTAACCAGGCACTACGCTTGATCTGAAGGTGGGGGAATGCGAAGTGGTATGCCTGGAGTAGGCTCTAGGACCACTGCCTCTGGAAGTTCCTTTGACAACAGTTCCTGCATTGTATTGAATTGATCAACATTAACAGAGCTCCTTTAAGTCTCTTATCATTAGCGAAGTAGAAAGTAAATAATGGCAAGAATTGACTTGACCCCGCATAATCACCGAATAAAAAGTGAATAGGTGAGATCCCACGTTGGTTGAGGAGGAGAACGAAGCATTCTTTATAAAAGTTTAGAAACATTTCCCTAGCAAACGGGTTTTAAAAACTTTAAGGGGAAGTCCGGAAAGGAATCCCAAAGAGGACAATATCTGTTAGTGATGGGTTTGGGCTGTTACAAATAGTATCAGAATCAGACACAAGGCGATGTGCCAGTGAGGAAGCTAAGCCTCGAAGGGGAGTGGATACGAGGTGTTGTGCCATCAAGGACGTTAGGCCTCGAAGGGGATGGATTGGGAGGTCCCACATTGGAGAAGGGAGCGAGTGCTGGGGAGGACGTTGGGCCCTGAAGGGGAGTGGATTGTGAGATCTCACATGGGTTGGGGAGGAGAATGAAGCATTCTTTATAAAAGTGTGGAAACCTCTCCCTAATAGATGCATTTTAGAAACCTTGAGGGAAAGTCCAAAAGGGAAAGTCTAAAGAGAACAATATCTACTCGCGGTGGATTTAGACAGATACAGAATCCATTGTTAACAATGGAGGACACAATTCTCACTCATTCGACCATGTTTCAGCTTATAAGATTGTGAAATCCATATTCTGGTCATTCTTTAGTTAGTGAACTACTTGATTCTCATTAAACTTCATCGGCTTCTATCCTTTTATACGAGGTAGAAAGAAATAAACCAAAGTAGAACCTAAAAGCTTCATGCAAAGTTCAAGTATGACCGTATGAATATGATAACATATCAGTTCAGACACATGTTTCATAATGGCCGTGGTTGAAGTAGATACTAACCTTGAAAGATTCAATTGTCCCTTCAGCACTAACTAAGCTTGCAAGAAGCCCTTTGCTATCCATATCTCCATTATTCATTGGCACGATGAACCTGAAAGATCATGAGGAAACATAATTTGATGAGATAAAATAGAAATATGTTTAAGACATCAAGAACGTATTAGTCACATTATAGGATTAGTCTTGGAAGAGAACGAGCCACTGTAATGCTCAGTACCCTTGAAATTTTCTTTGATATTACAGTATATTTCAGAGCCAAGTTTCTTGATTTTTAATCTCAAGTTCAGGTTTCTAACATAGTTATATAGAACAAACAAATAGATGCCACCACCAAGTACAGAATTTAAGGTTTTGGAAGCATTTATACTTTGCATGCAGCAGCTTAGCAAGTTGAACTGCATCTTCTTGTCCAGAAACGAGAGTAAAATTAGGCAGAAGCTGCTTTATAACAGGTGTGATGACAATATCAGCCCTTTGTTTTCCCAAAAATTCCTCGTTGTAAGAGCAATGAGGTTCATAATAAAGAGTCAGCTGGCCTTGGGGAGAAATAACAAGATACCTGTATCAGATTCAATAAAGAGAGATATGGAATCTAAATAACCAGTAAACTAAATAGATAATCATCATATAAACTATCATACTATTTTACCCGTTTTCAGGACGCTGCCAGGGAGGACCTAGAACTGGTCCAGCAGTGGCTCTAATGAGTACTTGAGATCCATTTTTTGCTTCAATAACTGAGCTCTGACCACATTCTAAATAAGTCACCTGGATATAACTAAAACTAGCCTTAGAACGATGCATATTTGCACAAAGTGGTATATGGAATGCTTCTAGTAATAATCTTAAACTTCATCGGCTTCTATCCTTTTATGTGCTTCTTTTCCCAGTGACTAGTCATAAGTGATGGGGTCATATGCCACAATAAAATAATCGATGCGTTGTCTACTGGTGTTGTGATTATTAGATGACATTATATTCGATTCTCAAAATATGTAACAGCCCAAGCCTACCGCTAGCAGATATTGTCCGTTCTGGTCTGTTACGTATAGTTATCGGCCTCACGATTTTAAAACGCATATGTTAGGGAGAGGTTTCCACACTCTTATAAAAAATGCTTTATTCCCCTCTCTAACCAATGTGGGATCTCACAATCCACCCTCCTTGGGAGCCCAACGTCCTTGCTAGCACACCGCCCAATGTCTGGCTCTGATATCATTTATAACAGCACAAGCGCACCACTAGCAGATATTGTCCACTTGACCCATTACGTGTCGCCGTCAGTCTCACGATTTTAAAACGCATCTATTAGGGAGAGATTTCCACACTCTTATAAAGAATGTTTCATTCCCCTCTCCACCAATGTGGGATCTCACAATCCACCCTCCTCAGAGCCCAACGTCCTTGCTAGCACACCGCCTAGTGTCTGCTGCTAGCTAATACCATTTGTAACAGCACAAGCACACCGCTAGCAAATATTGTCCGCTTTGACCCGTTATGTATCACCGTCTGTCTCACGGTTTTAAAATGCGTCTATAGGAAGAGGTTTCCACACTCTTATAAAGAAGGTTTCGTTCCCCTCTCCAACCAATGTGGGATCTCACAATCCATCCTCCTTGGGAGCCAGCATTTTTACTGGCACACCGCCCGGTATCCGGTTTTGATACCATTCATAATAGCACAAGCGCACAGCTAGTATATATTGTTCGCTTTGACTCGTTACGTATCGCCGTCAAACTCCCAATTTTAAAATGCATCTGTTAGGGAGAGGTTTCCATACCCTTATAAACAAAGCTTTGTTCACCTCTCCAAACAATGTGGGATCTCACAAAATATTTATACTACAAATTAAAATTTCCTCAAGAGCTTATCAGCTTGCATAATCAATTTTCTACCAAATAAACAACACCATCTTAGCCACATGATTAAGCAACTTAGCCTTGGATGGAAGCATAAGGAAAAAGAAAAAGAATTCATAGCAGAATCTGCTTACATTGCTGAAAAGTGGATCCAACAATGCCTTTGCATTTGGAGTTGCTATAACTTTTAGATTAGGAGACTTCTCAGAGAGAGGTCTCAGAGTCTTCAAATGGCAGTGATCATCAAGGCTTTGGGTAATAAGTAAACAGTCGACCTCAGGAAGTTCACTCAGCTGCACAAAGATTGCTCAAATATCAGAATAAGTTTATCAACTACATCAAAGAAACCAAAGTAGATGCTTATAGCCATTCCGAAGTTACCTGGAAATTCTTCAATATCTTCTTGGAGGCCTCATACAGCCACGAGATACCAAAATCAAGATTACCAACCAAAACAGGATCTACCAAAATGGACAGACCGCCCACTTCCCACAACCAACTATTTCCCTAAAACAAACAGGAGGAAGATAAATTCTAAGCATATCAATCAAAATCAACGAATAATAATCGAATCCAAGTAGATAAAACTAAGAACCCGCCTCCAGATAAGTAAGATTAAACGCATCGGTGGTAGAAACAGTCGCCCCATCGGCACTCTCTTTGGCAATCACAGCCGGAACTACCCTATTCGATCTGTAATCAAGCGTAAGGACAACAACAGCTTCGATTCTCCAACTGAAGAAAAACTAAGGTGCAGAATGAAAAACCTGGAAATCGAGACCTTCGGCAATGATCTGGAAGTTTTGAAAGTGGGATGAATCGTACGAGAGATTGCAAGGGCAAATGAAGAAGGGGAGAAAGCCATTTTTGTCCCAAATGGTTTGCAGAAGTTTATGCACTGTACAGCTGCCATGGCTTCTTCTCATCCACTGCAAGTTCTTTTCCCTGTTTTTCCCGCGAAATGAAGAACACGAGTGGTTATCTATTTATTTGAACAGGTTTCCAGAGTGAATTGTTCATCAAAATTATGAACAGTTCGATCTTCCAACGAATCGTTGATTTTGTGTTCCTGATTTCGCCGCTTGCCGTGGCCGCTTGCCCACCACCCGCGATAAAACAAAAAATGTCAAAATACTTCGGATCAACTGTTTTTAAGATTGATTTCATTGAGTGAGGTGTCTTCTCGAAACAAGATGATCCAAGAATTTGATCAATCCATTATATTTGTTTCGATTATCAATTTATTGCTATCTAATTTCATAATTATTTTTTAAATTTATTTATTAAAAAAAAAAAAAAACTCTTTCATTTTTAGTGTTTGAAATGTAACTTTTCAAAATATATTTTAAAATGGTAAATTTTAATTTAATATTTGATGACAAATAAATAATTATTTTATACATTCACATTTCATTTTTTTATTAAAATAAAAGATTAAATAAATGACTCATGCTAAATCCAAATATTTTTAAGATTGTGATAAGAGAAGGAACCATTACAAGGGGAGTAAGATTCGGATTACCTTGTTGATCGAATATCTCAAGGCAAGAACATTGTTTGAGATTCGAATCACTCCACAAGCAAGATCGATCATGTCTAGCTTGAATGATTCTTGTTGATCAAATATCTCAAGGCAAGAACACTTCCATGAGATTCGAATCACTCCACAAGCAAGATTGATCATGTCGAGCTTGAATGATTCTACATGCAACCTAAACTACATAAAATTGCAAAGAAACTTAGCCATTAGCTAAAGGAGAGCACAAATGCTTTTTTTTACTATATTTTTCAAGTCTCTTACACATACAACATACATGACTTTATATAGCCTCAAAATGAAACTACTAAAGTCATTCCAAGAGTTGTAACATTCATACTTAATGGCCATAATTAACCATTATGTAATTGTAACCTATAGTAAATAAAGTCTTAAAATACATAAATGAAATACAATAACTCTAAATTGTAACTCACCCAAAATTTATAACAATCAAACTTCATTCTTCTTCAATGTGGCATGAATTGAAACATCTTTTGATAATTTTGACAACCTTTTTTTCACATCTTCATTGAAGTATATTGTATGATTTGATGTCTTTTGGTTCATATCAGATTGGTTAAGGTTCATTATTTAAAAAATTTATTATTTTTTAAAATATTACAACTCAGCTAAACTCATCAACATCTATATATAAAAAATTATCCTTTTGAATTAATTAGCTAAAAAAAACATAAATATTTTGACAAATTTTACATGACTGTGATAAAAGGTGTTCAAAATGTTCGAATTGAGCCTGATTCAACAAACATTCTTTCTCCATCTACAAAATTGAATGGGCTCGATTCAACCTTCCTTTCATGTGTTGTTTAACTTCCATTTCATGTGTTACAAACGACTCAATTGAGAAACGGTTGAAGTGGAGCTTTCAAGTTCAGACTTTACTTTCACCTCCTATTGTCTATTGTGGAGTGACTTAATTTAGAACAAAGTTCCAAATCTTACTTTTTAATACTCTAATCTAATTTTAGTTTTGTTTATGATCCAAATTTTGTATAAGAGGTGAATTTCTTTGATTCAAGAATTTTATTTCAACGAAAGCTTCGATAGTTGGCAGAGAAATAGCAACCACAGTAATAAATGTCACTTCCTATACAAATGCTTCACATTTTCACCAACAATTCTCTCAACCACCTAAGGAGATATTTTTCTTATACTTTGATAGAATGAGGTTGGGGGCAAAAGTAGCTCCCCAACAAGAACAAGACCCAATATATACTTCTAGCTTTGGTTCACATCTTGAATGCTAGCTCTCTCTCCCATTTTTTGGGACAATATGGTATCGACTTGACGATTCGGCTACCTTTAAGCGTTGGCAACTCATCTCTCGAAGGAATTTTCTTATGCCATACGATCTCATTCTCACGTTCGAACTTCCTTAGCGTTTCAGCTACAATATCTATTTCTGTTCCGAAAACAAGTTTCCAGGAATTTTCTCTTGGCATTTCCTTTTTCACATCGGTTAATGCATGTCTAAGAATACCTATAGCAAGTCCAACTTGGCCACCAGACATCAATTCTTTTGCAAGATTTTTTCGACTTTTCAACTCGTGTAGAGCTCGAAAAGCTGATAGAAATTCCTATACCGACGAAAAATGATAAAGATTATAACGAGTCTTATACATACGAGCTAGTTCGATATGAACATTTAAAACGAGCATGAACTAGCAGGAAGCATTCGTACCAGAAAGCTTGAGGATTCTCCAGAGAATATGCGTAAATGATTAGCTGATTCATTGAGCAAGTCAACAATACCATAGTGTAGCTTAGCCAAAAGACTTGAAATAGATCCCTTTTCTTCAGCCCTCATCGTTGTGACAGCCTGATATGTTTTTTATGACATGATCAATATAGATAAACATCATTGAGAACAGTCTTAAAAAGAAAACGATACCTCCCGAATTCCTAACCCCGATCAAGGCCAATTATACTATTTAAGGCATGCTTGAGAGCGATATAGGAATCACTTTTATCATGTTCAAAACCACTACAGAAGAATGATAAAGTGGTTTTTGTCATTCCGAAATCACTCTCGAACATACCTCACAAAGTGCACTATCAAGTTTAAGGCCATTTATTGTTAGGATTGTACAATAACGCACACATTTGATCTAGATGAACACAAAGAACTTGAGAGAGAAAATTCAAGGTGGAATATTGGCTAAAGATTTATATCGATGGTTTCAAGTATGTATAGTAGAAGCGAATACATAGGATACAAAAAGTACATTTTCAAAGCACTGCCTATAGGGATAATCAACGTATGAGCTTAGGCTCCCATGTCCCGCCAACCCTTTAAAAAAGTCAAGGTCGTCAAATGGCTCATAGGGAGTCAGGAGCAAGCGGAATCAAAGGCGGGTAAAACTCACATAAGCAAAGGGGGACACATTCATGAAAGGCGAGAAGCCGTGGGGAATTGGCCAACTATGATATAGATATATGACTTTCGGGTAAGAGTATGAACATCTATTAGTCCGTATCATGGGTCTACTTGTTACAAAAAGCGAACATCCCTATTCCAAAACATACACACAAGTCCTCATGCAGGCCAGGAACATATATATGATTCAATTTAGTATATATATAATTTTACCAGATATAACCAACTACTGTATATTGGTTATGTAACTATCTACCAGATATAACTTTACCAACTTTATATATGACCATTTTTCATATATAGCTTTACAATGTATAACAATTGAATAATAAATAAGCAGCACTCCATGATCCAACAATTATCGGATGAACTTTCAAGGTGGTTTTCAGAGACCAGAAAACTAACCTGAGCCTCAGCTAAACAAACAAGACTCATTGCAACAGAAGTAGATGGAATAACTTCTGGTGGCCTTTCAGAAGGCACGCAGTGTTGAATAGATGGAAGAATATCCTTAGCTAGATATTGATAAACCCCGGCAGCTTCTCTGAAAAAGGTCGCAGATTGCACTTTATCTGTATAAGAGAAAAGTAAGTGATCCAATAGGTATAAATCCAAAACTTGTACAGGAAACTAGTTCATCATTACTACCCACCTTCTGATATAACTTCTAAGGCCCTCTTCCTAAGAACAGCACCGTATAGGAAAAGAGTCATCGCTACCTCGAACCTCAAGTTATCTATTTGGAAAAATTTTGGACCCCTAAGATGAAATAATGATGATGAGCTCAGAGCACTCGACCATCGTATCTTTAGGTCTGATGTCCATTGAACAATCTTGAGGTTATAGCCGACCAGATCAACTTGGGAAACAAAATTTTCCAATAAGGGCAGGTATTGCAGTAGTTTATGAAGGACCTGGAATGTTTTGAACACAGAACATAATTGAATGAGCATACAACAGCCATGACAATCTCATAAAAAGATAAAACCGAGACAGACAGACAAAGCTGAACCACCAAATCATAGGAAGAGATGGAGAAATCATTGGTTTAAATCAAGCATATATGTAAATGGGCTGAAATTGTAGGAATAAATCAAGCCAAATCCATCTATCATCCTCTATTACGTGGAAATAAACATTGAAACATCATCGTAAAACATTGTCATAGACTTACATATTTGAAAACGTCTTTAAAGCAACATAACGAAAATTAAAATAAAACAAGTAGAGACCATGACACATGCATAAGAAAGTTATGTAAGTCCATGACAGTGTTTTACGATGAAGTTTCAAATGATTATTTCCGTATAAAATGATTACATTATATATCCAATAATGACTTCAGGTTAAGTAGAAATCTAGGGTCGTTACAAATCCAAGGCACCTTTAGCGTGAAAGAACATATATATTCATGTATTAGAATCACAAAGGAGCATTTACCAATAAGGTTGGCAAATTATTGATATGTTACCTGTTGAGTGTGGGAAGACAACCCGCCAGACATTTCTCTTGCAATAGCATCTGTGATAAAGCTAGTTTCATTAATGGACTCCTCAATCACTTTACGCCTAGAAGTCATCTCCTTCAGTTGTTCAAGTGTACTGGAATCGCGGGCAATGAATTTGTCCTCAAACACACACTGTGCATATTGACAAATTATCACTATAGTCTCAAATGATAATTAACCATAACAAAGACTACTAAGCTCTCTAACTAGTATTTCTTTCACTACTCTTTATGATTTTCGATTTTCTTTAATCCCTTATTACTTATAGTTCAAAGACTTCTTCGGTACGGCCTGAATTTCTGCCTGTGCTATACTCATATTGGTCTCTAACTTGTAGCTTAGTTGAGTTCAGTAATTACTCAAACGAAAGCTAGTCTAGAAGGAATCTCATTTTCAATTTTTTGGTATAGTTTCTCTCAAGTATGGAATTCTCTCCACTTGCACGATTACTAGATAGGCTAGCTTTGGTGTTTTTAATGCTCTACTTGCAAAAAAAAAAAAAAAAAAAATGGAAGGGACTTTTTGTTGCCTGCTTTTGATGGTTTATCTCTTCAAGAGTCAGTCAGTTCTAGTCTAGACTTTCCCACCCAAAGAAGTTCTTGGAAAACCTTTAGAGCGGGCAGCACAAACCCTTCCTTTTATTCGGGCAAGGATGAACATCTTATGTTGTATCTAAGCTTTTTTGTTCTTGGGTCATTCCCCGTAACGTGGTCGATGAAAGATATATATATATACACACATATGTATCATACGTGCCCCTCGACCATTTTTAGTTCTATCCAGCTCTGAAGTACTTAATTGCCAAGATAATTGGAGACGAAATCCTAATAGGTAGCCACATGGCTTGAATTTATAACCTGAGACTGATTAAGGCAGGATCAAAACTACATTACAACCATGAAATTGGCTCTTGAAACCTCCACCACATCACAATTCCACACTCGAAAAAACTCATATGGCAATTCAAATTAAAAAACCCAGAAGAACAGAAACATACCATCTTGGTTTTAAGCTTGGCCGGGTCTGAAAATTGCAGCAGCATCTTCGACAAAATCAAAACTCAATCACCGGGTAACTGATTCAAGTAGGAAGAAAAAACGAATAGGGCCAATGAAAATTTGTTCAGGGACCCCTTCAACACTAATTTGCTTTCAAATCGGCTCCAAGAAGAACAATTATCAACTCAAGTTTGGATGAACAAACCCCCTGCCTCGCTCGCGCAATCCTCAACGATGAACACCCAAGTAGAGACAGCTCGATACACGCGCTGAAGTTTGAGGCTAATTTGAATATAGAATTGGTGGGTCAATATCTCGTTGTTATTTGTTGATTGTTGCTCTCTGGTATTTACTCCTCGTTTCCTTCGTCGCCAAGATTTCGTGTTGATGAACAACAGAACTGTGGTGGGCCAATGGGCTACTTTTGTTCATGATCTATATAACGGGCTTTTTTTTCGGCATTTAATGATTGGAAAATTTAATTAAATTTAAAACAATAATAGTGACTCATTTTAAATAATTAAAAAATGGCTAAAAAAAATAAAATCTCTAAATTGCCCTTAAAAGCTCTTAAAAAATGGTATATTGAAACAGTTAATATTTTATTTAAAAACTATTTAACTTTTAAAATAATTATAATTTTTTTTTATTTTTAAATGTTAAAAAATATCTACCTCTGTCATATTTTATTTCAAAGTAATATTAAAAAATTAATATTAAAATTAAAAAACTCTTATATTCAATACATTTGAGAGGGACTCTGTCGTCAATATTCATATTATTTTACCATTACTTTCCTTATTAAAATGTTTAAATAAATATGACAAAGGTATTTATTTATTCGCGTTATTTTTATATTTAATAATCAGTGATTCGTTCTCTATGTATATTCCAAAAAACATAAAGTCTCTCATTCATTTTTGTGGTTGACGTGCTTTCTCGGGTTAATTTATAACTATTTACGAGAAAGGGCAAACAAAGCTTGAAGACAACTATCTTACCTAATAGAGTAGCGGGCAGAACGAGGAAAAAGCCCAACAATCATACCACTACGGTCGAAAAAGCATGTTCCCTTCAAATAACATGCACCGTAGACCATTGCATACTTTTTTTTTTGTTTTCTTTATGAAGAAGAAACTAGTCTCGAGCTCTGAAAGCGTTCTCCTTTCCTTCCCTTCATCGAGCCTTTTCGTTAGTGGCGGAAGAAAACATTTCCTTGTCTAAACGTAGACAGACATTTTTATTGTATTTCTTCTTCTAAAAACGCAGTTGTAATTGAAATACGAAGCAATTGAAAATGAATAATATTTTACAATAACAAATATATATATATATATATATTTTTTGAAATTTAATTTACCACTTATTAACGAACCTAAAAAAAAAAAAAAAAAAAAAAAAAAAAAAAAAAAAAAAAAAAAAAAAAAAAAAAAAAAAAAAAAAAAAAAAAAAAAAAAAAAAAATCAAGTTAATTTACTCTTTAGCTTTGTCAAAACCGGCGGAGGGAGAAGTAGAAGCGTTGCCAGTTCTGTAATTTCGCATCAGTTTCCAAAGTCTACCATTTGCGCGCTCTCTTCCCGGTTCCGGAGTTCATCAGAAAATCGGGATCATAGATTGATAAACCAGAGAACGCGCACGTTCTGGCTGTTATTTTTTCTTCCCCGAAGCGTTGAAGATACAGTTTCTGAGTCATTCGATGGCGGAGAAGCAGCTGATAGTGGTCGTTGAAGGTACTGCAGCCATGGGTCCCTTCTGGCAAACCGTCGTAACGGATTACATTGAGAAGATTGTCAGGTAATCCTCTTTTAACCTATCTGTTCTTCCATCTCCTTCCTGCTTATTAATTTTAAAGGGAGGTGAAATTGTGTAAGTACGCGTTTTCTTATGTTATTGATTGTTTTTTAGGATTTTAGGGGATGTCTAGAAAGCTTCATTTGTCTGTTGACTCGTCAATAGGTTATAATTTAGCGAATGGGCTATTATGTGCACGATCATGATCAGTGTGTTGATTTTTCCCCAAATTCGTACATCAAAACTGGCCGAGTCTCCATTTTAAACTGGAACTGTATCATACTTGTTGTAACCTGCTTGTGTCGTGATCACGATACTATTTTGACAATTAATGCTCGAGTCGCATATTTATTTCTGTAGAACTCACGATTTGTTACCGTGGGTACCTGGTTTGGAGGCATCGTAGTTCATGGTTATTTCTATACAGTCGCTATGTACATCTTCTCATTTTGGGTATTGGTTGCACTCTGGTTTTGGTCGACGCAATCGTTCCATTGCAATACTGCAGAATTTGTTAACGGGCCAGGAGTGAAGTTCCATTCTTGAAATTGAAACTTTTCTGGAGATTCCACGCTGTTTTAGTTTATTAACTACGACCTCTATCTCTTCCAAAATTGGGGGTGCAAATTTTCTTCCATATTTAGCTCATAAGATTATATCCCTTCCCTTTTTTTTATTGCCAACCTATCTGCCTCCTTGTAATCACGTTACATATTATTCTTCGAAGTTTATAGATAACATAGTACCAAGGTCTTTTCACTAGCCCGTCTCAGTGACTCTGTTATCACTCTATATATTAATCCCTGTACACAAAGGTGTATACTACTTGAGATATCACTTTTACTATCATCAATGTCATGAAGGTGTCCAGCATACTGACAGTTGATAAGCTGCTATGGACTATTAGGTCGAGGATTGGAGGTTCTGGACATTAGTTCTTTCCAAACGGTCTCCTTCTAGTCTGTGCTTGTCATAATGGGTGGCAATACTCTGCAATGGGAGGTGGTTGTGTCTACACATTTTGGTTAATCTGACGTGATGCGGTTGGCTACCAAGAGTTGGATTCCAAATAGTCTAAATAGTTACCAGTGTAACTTCCACCTCTCTTGTTTTGTATTTTTTGGAGTGGCCCTGGGCACATTGGAAATGATATCAAGTAATGTAAAAGAGAGAACACATATTTCACACGGTAAAATAATTCCTGTAGATCAACTCGAGGGTTTACAAGTCTTAAGATTACAAATAAGAGTATCAGAAAAAACAGAACAAGAGTACTTGAGTTATTTTAGCATTGTGTAAACTTCTGTGTAATGCATACAATGAAAGAAAGCATGGTAGGATGTTATAGAACATGTACCGTTGGACACAGTGCTGAAGATGTTTTCTTTACAGTTTCATTTGAAAATTCATAAATGAATACACCTTTTATTTATTTTTGTTACTTCCTGATGTTAGATATAGCTCATGGATAATTTTTGATGATATTAAAGATATGTTAAATTTAACTTTTGATTTGTGCAGATGTTTCGGTGGAAATGAATTAACTGGGCAGGTACGCCTCTTTCTTTTTTAGGAGACTAAGATATTTTATCCCTAACATTTCATGTATGTAATAATTCTATTTGTTCAGGTTTTGAAATATAGAGAATATCCCAGTACCTTTTGAATTCATTTGTCAATCCAGGTTTATAACAGAGGATACTGTTGTAGGCATTCTGAAATTGATGTATGGTCCTTCCATTTTGATTGATACATGGTACTTCCATGTTGATACTGGATGAAACTCTTGGTTTGTTTCTTTTTTCATTTTGAAGACGACTTCAAGATTAAGGCCTTTATCATTTGTAGGATTTATAGTTAAAGCTGATGTTCCTATTGAGATGTGTGATAATTTGATAATATTAGGTTTAATTAGTTGGTGAAAACGTAGGTCTGATTTTAGTTCTGATTTTATAGCAAAGGTTATGTAAAAATGTTTTTGGATAATTGGTTTTTAATAGTTTCCCCCCTCTTTCGTTTCCTTTAAATTGTTCTTATTAGTGGCCTATTTTTGAGAGAGAATGTGGTTGTTTCCTTTCCAATCCATGTCATTGTGAATAGTGTTTTATGGGTGCTCAGTTGTATGAACTTTTACAAGTCAGTTATTCACACTTTTGAGAAACAGTTTTGAAAACAAAAACGAAAAAAATATTCTTCAGATAGTTTTCTGCACAAATCTAGCCCATTCAATTTTAAGATTTCTATTTGCTTCAATTTCAAAGGTTACAAATTTTGCCTTATGAATTTTTCAAGATTACAAATGCTATCAATCTTCAAGTTTTCATTGATTATAAGTATAGGTGAAGTATTTATTTTCTTTTCATTTTGAGGCAACATCGAGACAGACTATTTGATCACGTTCATTTCAAATCTAACTCATTCAAAACTCAATAAAAAAACATGAAATCAACTGTAGTCCTTAAAATCATATTATTTAATAATCATTTCTTATGCTTGCCTCCAGACAAAGTATACTCTTGTGACTCGTCTAGTATATAAACTAGGTAATCATCCTTCTCTCCACCTGACCATGTAACGATTTACTCTTTTGGAATGCAGAAACCACCAACCTCTAACGTTGAGTTCTCTCTGGTCACATTTCATACTCATGGATCGTATTGTGGTTCGTAAGGAGTTTATTTTTCCTGATTCATTATGTTTATGCTCTGATGTTGAGCAGTTATTCCAACACCAAAACATTCCATGTTTGTCATTTTCATTCCATAGTCTAGCTAAATGTGATCATGAAAGGCTTACAGAAATTTTAGCTGATGTCATCTCGTCAAATGTTGTATATTGACAACTTTCTGGACTAAGTCTTCCATTTGTGTCCCATATACTTCCGTAGTTCTAAGTTTCTTTAAACCTTTACATATGGCTTATATATTAGCTAAAGTAAATTGCAATTGGAGAATATTTTTCTAACAATAATCTTTTTCCAAGTCACCGAATAAGTTCAGCAATTTAGTTTCAAAGATTTTCTATATATATATATATTTTGTTACTAGAATGAAACTAGTCACATCCAGTAGACAAAGTGTCATGTGGCATCTGGTTAGTTTTGGTGGAAATTTAGCGTGTGACATTATGTTGAATATGTCCATTCTCTTTTATCTCCATTTTTCTTTTTTCAGGTTGTCTAGTACAGCGGACTGGGTGGACAAGAGATGCTGATACTTTTATACAATGGCTTTCAGCTATTCCCTTTTCCGGTGGTGGATTCAGTGATGCTGCAATAGCTGAAGGGCTAGGTGAAGCACTTATGGTACGCATTTTCTTGCTCTCTGAACTTGTTCTTCTGAACTACTTTTATGGTGCTTTATCTTCTCTTCATTTCTGAATGACCCAAGTTGTATTTTTTGGTTCTTTTTCATCTCTCATCTTCTCATCTTCTTCTGAATGTTTTCTTCTGTATTAGACATACCGATGGTGTTCCAGATTGTTTGACCTCTTGCTCTCTTCCCTCACCATGTCACGTATTTAATTCTTCACATTATAAAATTATGGAATTCTTGAGTTTTTGTTCTTTGAGTTTGATGCATAAATAGGTTTTCTCTTTATAACTGA